ACACAATTTTTAAATATTTTATCGTTCATAGCAAATATTAAAAACATATCTATGTAATATTGTAATATTGTACTATTGTATGGATATTCTTATATATTAGTTTTAAAACAATACATAAGAATTTATCAAGTATAGCAGAAATAAAACAATGTTACAAAATGTTTGAAGTATATTTATCATATTATATCAATGTAAACTTTGCCAGAATCTATCTATTTAATTGAATAAATTATTAATATGAAATACCTATTATTTTTACGTTTCAAAAGTAAATATTATTTAGACTTTAGTTCTTAATTTAAATTTATTTAAATAATATTATTAAATATATAAATATATACATCATCATTTGAACGATTTCTATTCTTACTTCTTGTACTTCATCAATATACTTTTTTTTTAGTATTTTATTAGTTGCTAGCTAAATTATCCGGTTTTGCCAGGGAGGTATTCGGCTATTTTATAGAAAAATGAGGTTGAAAAAATTACTATTTTCTTTATTACCTATATCACTTTTATTTATATAATATTAATATTATTAAGAGGACGTCGCATCCGTATGTGTTTTCACCGTCTTACACACGTACGAAACAGTAAATTTTCATTTACAAGTTTCAATAGTGTGCTTTTAGTTTTGATATTAGAGTGATTCAACATATTATCAAACTAAACTTTTATATCAGAACATTATCTGTGTTCTCTAATTGGTTTTTTATGATATTTTAATTTTTAAGTGAATTATGAGCATTTTCAAATATTTATATATTTCATACTCATAATTCACTTAAAAATTAAAATATCATAAAAAAAACCAATGAGAGAACACAGATAATGTTCTGATCTAAAAGTTTGATAGTAGGTTGAATTACTCTAATATCAAAATAAAAGCATACTAATTACTATTGAAACTTGTGAACGAAAATTTACTATTTCGTATGTGTTAGACGATGACAACACAATATGTGGATGCGAGGTCCATCCAAATCGAAAAATCAATAATTATTTTATTGACATAATAAATAGAAAAAAGTCTAACTAGGATAATGATACAACTAAAATTTATTTGTGACTATCCGTTCGCTAGTTAGGTACTGTGATTTTTAATATTGCATGTAACGTCACAGATTCGTTCACCTGCACGGCGGCGGTCGCATATATAATATACAGCAATATTTATCCGTTTTTGACTTAATGCCTCAACGTAAAATAACTGCTGATGAACTTATTTTTTTTCGAATCAACTAATCAAATAATTTAATAGTACCTCATAAATCATAATATTTCCATTCAAATAATTATATCACATTTTGGTTTAATTAAAAAAAAAAAAAAACACTTAAAGTAAATTATATTATGAATTTAACATATTATATTTACTGTAGTAAACGAGTGTAATATTATTTTGATGATCATGACATCGTGTACCTATACATTTTTTAACGCCTAAACTAGTTGTTTTAATTTTAAAATTATATAAAATTAAAAATAAACTCATAGCAGTACTCTTTAAGAGTTATGACAGTGGTGTATTATAATTTATAATATAATTATTGTTTCATAAATATTAAACCAAAATGTGATAAAATTATAGGAATAGAAACATTAAGAGGCACTCTTTAATACATTTGGTTAGGTTATTCAACAAAAAAAGAAAAATAAGTTCATTGGCATTTAGTTTATGTTAAACCAAAAACGGATAAATATTACTGTGTATTATGTATGGCCGCCGCCGCGGTGAACGTATCTATGTAACACACACAATATTAAAAATCACCGTAACCAGCGAACGGATAGTCATAAACGAATTTTAGTGGTATCATTTTTTTTGTCAAAGTATTTACTATAATTTAAGCCCAAGAAAATTTTATGAGTTGGATGGTCTTTTAAATTATGAAAATAATAACATTATTACAATTCGAAAACCAATTAATTATTAGACCATTGGTACATTTTGTTATCAACGTTTTTCAGAACTATCGATCATTATTGAAACAATTACCGATACTTGTTTTTATACGTATAATTGTTATAATAGTACAAGCAATAATAGATGTGTAATATTCTTTTTATATTGAACGTATGTTGTAATTATAATATCCTCTGAAAAAAATAAAACGTATTCATAGAATAGAGATTAAATAGAAAGGCGACTCCTGTAGAACATTTTGATAGGATCATTGATGCTATCGCTCCGCGTGGCTGTCTTACGAACTAAAATATAAACTATCGATAGTTGGTAGAAATCGATATATTTATGTATCGATCTTATTATTTATCGATTATCGAATGTACTGTTCTTAATTTTATATTTTCCATTTACCATTCACTTTTTTGTGGAAAAAATAATTGGGAAAAATAAAGTAGAGTAAAGAAAGATGATGTAATAAACGCGACACGGATGGCAATCGAAAAAGATAGTGTCAAGCAGTTTAGGGTTTAGTATGGCAGTCGACGGTATCGAGACGGTACTTAATGGTAAAGCAGATCGTTTAAAGAAGTTGTTTTGAATAAACTTGTTGCGAGCGGGCGCATAAAAACAATAAAAACAGAAATGAACGTGACGCTCGTGGGTATCGTGGCCCATAGCGTCGTTAGCACCATTGGCCGGTCGTGAGCAAGAGAAGGGGTGCGCAGTGTTTCCCTATGTATTGGAAATTTTGTTAGGATGGTACGTCGCGGGTCTTACGTTATAATAATTCTGTCCTATAGAGTTACAGCCCCCTGCACGTAGTACTATCACATCACTAAGTTCCCTTTCCCTACTATCGTTGCTAATATGTATTATACACTTTTACCACATCGGATAAGTTTCGATAACTGAAATTCATATTTTTTGTTTATAGAGCACTCTAATTTAAAACAGTAATAAATTAAATTAAGTAGTTTAGTTATATAGTGCCGATGATTTTCAATACTATCTACACGCCCAAAGTTTTTGAAATTGAATTTTAAACCCTTCATAAATATAAATATCAATAATACAATTGAATTGGCAAAATAATTTTAAATTTCGCGAGAATCGTTTTTAGAAAATATACAAAATAAATAATTAGTACAATTAACAAAAAAGAATAATGCTTTAAAAAAAAAACATTAAAAAAAATATTCATTTTAGTACGTAATTGACATGACTTCGCCACATGTAAATAACACGAACGCGCTTAAATTGCCTATCTTGAAATCCTTAAAAACGGCCTGCATCGACTCCGGTCAAAAAATAATTTACTTTTTTTTTCTAACAATTCGTTTATTTTAATAACCTTGAAAATGTTACCCTCGTCACTGTCGTTCGCACCCCACGCCCATTCCCCCAAAAATTTAAACACATGTGTCACAGTAAGCTTTGTCCCGACCGGTTTCACCACAGTTAATTCCATACGGACCCTTTTTTTTTCATGTCTGACACACACACAATAAGCGTATACAATTATATATTATTTATACGGACGTTTGATATCTTTGAGCATACGAACACAAAGAGACGACGGCAACTCAATTGTTGAAGAACAGAACGGTTGAATAGGCACGCACAGCCATTGATTTACCAACAAAAACCTTCGGGTCGTAGATTAAAAATGTTTCACCTGCCTTATTTAACATGGCCCTGTTTCAATGCACATCCCAACATTTATACTCATAGCAACCGAAGCGGCGTTCTATTCTCTCTCACTCTTTCATTCCCTTCTCGCTCACCCTCTCTCTTCTCACCCCCTCCCTCTCTCTTCTCGCTCACTCTCTCTCCTTTTTCACCATCTTTCTTCTAGTTCACTCTCTCTCTCTTCTCGTTCATTCTTCTCTTCTCGTTTATTCTTCTCTTCTCGTTCATTCTCTCTCTTCTTGTTCATTCTCCTCTCTCTCTCCTTTTTCACCCTCTTTCTTCTCGTTCATTCTCTCTCTCTTCTTGTTCATTCTCCTCTCTCTCACCATCTCTCTCTTCTCGCTCACTCTCTCTCTCTTCTCGCTCACTCACTCTCTCTCTCTTCTCGTTCATTCTCTCTACCCGCCACCCTCTCTCTCTTCTCGTTCATTCTCTCTACCCACCACCCTCTCACTCTTCTCGTTCATTCTCTCTACCCACCACCCTCTCTCTCTTCTCGTTCATTCTCTCTACCCACCACCCTCTCTCTCTTCTCGTTCATTCTCTCTACCCGCCACCCTCTCTCTCTTCTCGTTCATTCTCTCTACCCGCCACCCTCTCACACTCTCTCTCTCTCTCTCTCTCTCTCTACTCGCTCACCCTATCTCTCTTCTCACTCAGTTGTTCACACCGACTCACTTTATTTCTTAATTTTCTCCAATTCTATAATACAATATATTTTATTTTTTCTTACGCACCAAAATGTATGTAACAAAACCGTGTATATACAACACAATATAATTATTATATTATCGAAATATTTTTATTAGTAAAATACGACGATGACGGTTCAATGAAAACGCCTATTATCTACTATACCTAACTATATATATATATGGTGCAATACATGATTTTACTTCCGTTGAAATAAAACAAACACCTTGTCTGAATTTATAATATTAACAAATGTCAGAATAATATAATATGGTTTTAATATTATTTGTAATTGTCCGTAATATTTATCTTAACCACAAAATATTTATAGGTTATAATAATATACGTTGTTTTCGATAAATATTGACTTAAGTATTTAACAACACAATACAAAAAACAAGGTTCAATTATTAATAATTACAAAGGTTACTACGATAATATAATAACATCGTAATGTTAAAGATAAAATAACGTCGTATAATGAAAATAACACAATACATGTTAATATTTTAATCGCCCCGAACGAATTTCGTAATGGAAATAGATAACTGTCATTATTATTGACGGAAGCACGTGATAATATTATAATAAAACAGTTTGATTTTGTGTACGGTAAACCCAACCGGTTTGTCCGAATATCGGCAATATAATTTAATAATATCGCGTGATAATGTAATTATTACTAATTAAAATGGCATTTTATGCTCACCGAACTGTTGGAAGGCTGGCTATTATTGTCGTCCTCGTCCTCGTCGTCGGACGAAACTTCGGGCGTCGACATTTGGACGCCCATGTTTGAAGCAATGAAGCTACGCGATGTGCATGATATTTGTTGACAGTGTACGGCGCATGATGACGGGGGCCAATGGTGACCGACCAGCAGCTAATACTAATAAGCAATAGCGGACGGTCGGGCACACGTCCGACACCCGAGCGTACAGAAAAACGAATGCGGCGAGCCCTAGGGGCCGGGACCGGGTCCAGCAAGTGGTAGCGGCGACGCATGCGCACGCCGCTCCGTTCGTGCCGATCGATCGAGCTAATACAGTGCGGGCAACCGTCGGATTCGAAATACGGACGAGATTAACGCCCAGCCAACGGACGCCCAACAATACGTGGCAATGCGGCCGCCCGCTCGACCAACCGCGTTCCCCTCGACACCAACCCGCTCGCCTATGCTCGGACGCGCAAAAGCAACGGTCGCCGCCGCCGGTCGGGTACAAAACGCGCGCACCCAACAGGTAGAGAATTACCGGCGGGGCGACGTGGCGGCGGCTGCGCAGGATGATCCATTATATTGATTATCACATGCGCAGCAGGCATAACTCATACTAATATAATACACTTATTTCTATGGTACCCGCACCGCCCCGCCGTGCCGCACATTCCTCGTAAAGGTCCCGGATAGCATATTGACGTGGTAAATATACTGCCCGTTGAACATTGAACACCGATTTCTTTCTACCACGACATTAATTTTGTGTCGTGTCATACAGAGCGATCGATTTAACGAAAGACACTCGTTATTTCAAAATAATGCTCCGACGTTTTTGAAAATATTCTTTTTTTTTTATAATTTTAGGCCATTGCACAACAACATTTTTGGCGAAAAAAATAATATTTTTTATTTTAACACGCTTGAGAGATTGTGTAAAAATATCAATAGTCTTTTAAAATGATAAGTGTTTCCCGGTAAATGAATCATTCGGTATATATGCGTGTGTGTGTGGTCCTGTCCCTCCCAAACACCCTCCGAAATATTCGGAGAATATTCTAGAACGAACATGGCGCCCCGTCGATAATGTATTTTCGTTGTTTCGATCCGTTTTGAAAAGGTCAACCGTATGGCCCTACCATTAAAATGTTCGTAGAATATTCTAGAACGATCGATACAGCCACACAAATAATTTTTAATACAATCCACGAAACCATAATATACATTTTTATCAATATTATAACATCATACCCATCCACTACCACCAATGCATTTCAAAAATGTTATCGAAAAATATTCTAGAACGAATGCCCGGCCAACAAAACAGAATATAATTTGTTTTAATTTATGACTTATGAGTTTATTATACTGGAACTCGGCATCACCATTGGTCATCTAAATAAATTATTATTAATTATACCCAAACTTATTTGTATATTATAATGGCAATAATAATATGGTACCATACGTTATAATCTAAAAGTAATTATCATTTTATAAAAAAAAAATAAATATAGTACATCGCAATTATAGCTTAAGTGGGAATCATTTTTATTATTATTATTATAATTATTATTTATAATAATTGTAGTCGATTTGGTATAGAAGAATTATTTTTTTTATTTATTTTTTTTGTTAGTTTCAATATTAGAATGAATTGGCGTATTATTAAAATTAGAAGTGATAATATTTGCTATGGAACATTTTATAAACTTTTGGCGATATTTAATTTTAAAGTTAGTTTTTAACATTTTAAAATTATAATTATTTTTATAGTTAATTCGTTTTAAAATGTAAATACCAATTAAAACCTATACCAATAATTTTACTTTTAAATTTAATAAAAATTAAACAACTATAATATGTTAAAGCTAAAAACGAAAATTGAATATATTGAACGTTGATTTACAATATTTTAAGTGTGTGTAACAAAGACAACATATGAGTGTTAGCATCCTCTCATAATATTAACGAGGCTACGCGAAACGACATTATTCCTATACGTATCACTTTAATGGTTCTATATAGTCGTTTACATATAATAATTATTGTAAGTAAAAAAAAATAATATATTGATCAATTATAAATTAAACCATTGTCGTATCATATCAACCATTTCAGTATAGACATTTTATTATAATATAAAATAACATGATAAAATTCAAAAATATTAACATGAATAGATTTAAATCTTAACTTTTACATTTAAAATTTTTCGACTAAATCAAGATAAGGTATAATGTAAAAATTATTCATGAAGATTTGGAAACCTCTCCAAATAATTCCTATAGACGTTTTTATGAAATGTAGCATCCGCACATTGGCAGATCTTAAATTCATTCCGTTTTATATCGTGTACACAAATTACTAATTCATTATTTCATAAACTGTTGTTACAGAGAAAACAATTATTTTGTTAATAGGTAGTTTAATAAATAATGAAAACTACTATTTACAAACACCAAAAATACCGAAATTCATTTAAAATTAGGTAATACTTTTCATAACAACTACAACTGTAAACTATAATATTTATTCAATTAAAATTATTTGTTAAGATTTCTTCCACCTTCTATATATTATTATGTCATATAACAAAAATGATTCATATACTCAAAAAAATTATAAAATCTTAATTTAAAAAAAATAGGATTTTTTTATTCATCCTTAATCCTTAGATCAAAAAAGTAAACATTTATCATAATTTTTTTATTCAAAAGATATTAATGAAGATAACTGCCAATTATTTTACAGCAAAATAAAATACATGCCTACGATACACGTTACGTCATAACTATTGATCTGCTTAAATCAGAAGCTCGAATAGGTACGGCGATGAAGATATTATTAAGCTTTTAATCATTTAATAAATTACCAAAATATATAATGATAATAATGTACATATTTTTGAATGTATATAACATTCAATGTTTATAAGTTTTAATTAAACAAGTAAATATCAGAATTTTTCATTTAATTTAATTAATAATGACATACAAAATTGTATTATCTTCTATCTACACTAATTATATAAAGTTCTAAGCACATTTTTTATGTGAAGTAAACTCGATAACTAACGATTCAATTTTGATCGGATTTTTTTTTATTTGTTCCTTAAGATCACGCTAATGTTATATAAATAAATGTAGTCTGATAAAGATAGTAAATAATTATTATTAATAATAAAAATAAACGTATAAACTGTATACCTATATATATATACGTATGGTACTGCGACCAGCGGGTTTCTTGCTACCTGCATTCTGACATTTTTGTCCGTCAAATTATATGTTAATAACATTTGCGTATAGATCTCAATTGTTCCAAGAAATTTATCAATAACATAATATTTATAAATGGAGAAATATAAATCTGTGTTACGCATGTTTTCTAAAACAACTTATCCAATTAATTTGATTTTTTTTTTAAAGAATGAATACATCACGGTGCAAATTTTAAGCATACCTATTTCTAATTTTATAAATTAATTTTTAAGTAATCGGCAAAAACTCACGTATATATATATTTTTTTTTTCATCCGTGTTACCAATTATTAGTTATTATTAGAAATTAGTACTTAAGTAGTGAATAATTTATGTAGTACAACAGAACAAAACGTTTTCATTGTTTTTGGTTAACATTATTGGAACTTTATAAGTTGTTGATTTTGGGTCCAGAATGAAAAGAAAATACGTAAAATTAGAGTTGTTCAATAAAAAAAAAAAAAATGAAAAATAATTTTAAAGAAAAATACTTCTGTTAAATGATAAAAAAACCGACGCTGGATGAATAGTTGTGTAAAGTTGATATGTCGGAAATATCATCAATAAAATTAATCAGAAGACCAAAAATATTATTTATCCCACACATTACACCAAATTTAATACTAGCATTTTATAATGTGGCAACAAAAATTAACACTGACTCATTTTGTACGGGCAACAAAGTGCACGGGGATAGCTAGTGATACCATAATAATTATAATGATTTGTAAGTCATTATACATGGTATTATCGATTTTCTTTAAATAATTAATTGAACTAATTAATAACCTGATAACTTGTTATTTATTTCAAAGAATAATCTGACGTGATAACATCGAGTGAAACTCGTTGCGACTATAATATTATATATTATTATATATTACTATATCATTACTATAATACTGTAATATTAAATATTTGGTCGACAATAGCCAATCTCTCGCTGCACGTTATAAAGAACATTCTTGAACAAATATTAAGCCGGAATCCGACAAACACTAAATTCCATTCGAAATATCGATATATAATGCACAGTGCACACAATATCTTCCCTACCGCCTTCACGCCTCATCGAGGTACAATGTCACTAATGCCAGTAAAGAATTTTTATTCACAAAAGACGACCGTCCGATAAAACACAATATCTATTCTAACCGTTGCACCCTTGGGTATACCTAAGAAAGTTATTGTGTACAGACGAACAAACAGCTAAATTCCGTCCGAAATACATGTGTATATAATATATAGTTAGTACCCTGCTGGGCCTGCTGTTACACAAATTCAACATACGATGTTTTCAAAGAATGTTCTAGAACGATAATATTATATTATAATTTATAGCCACCCAGCAACAAAAACTCCATCTGCACAGCAGATATCGTTTAGATTTCTTATTTATTTATTCATTTATTTATTTATTTATTTATTCTTATCTACGTTTTTAATAACGAACAAACATATTTTTTGATTAAATATTTATTACTAACGTACAACTCGTATGTGATAATTATTTAGTTCTCAAACACTGCTGATCAATATAATATATATATACATATTATATTAATATAAATTAAGTGGTATTGAACCCAGCTTATAATGTGTAATAGCAACAGCTACAATCAGGCAATTTCGATGAACTGTATATTATTTTAAATACGTTTATAATAATAATATTTAATATGAACGATAAATGAACCTTGTTCATGAAATATTTTATTTAAAAACTTAAATTGCTTATAAAAATAACTAGTATGTAAAAATGTTCAATGTTTGTGGATTAAACAATACACATTAATATACAAAAAACCTGATATTTTTAATTTTTAAGTGATTGGAAATGATGGATGATGGTGATTTATTGTTTAATATCCATCGTGACTTAT